TGTTGAGGAATTTCCGTTTTATATGTATTTTATTGAGAGTTTTTATTAGGAATGGGTGTTGAACTTTGTTGAATGCCTTTTCTGTGTTGATTGAGATGAACATATTCCTTTCTTTATGTGGTGGATTACATTGATTCATTTTCTAATTTTGAACCACCCTTGCATACCTGGTATTAAAAGCTTTTTGATTTTCATCTTCTTGCACCTGTATCAACACACTCCCTTCTCAATCTGTCCAAGGTTCCTTTTCACTAGCAATAGCTAATTAGGTGTGCTTGGGGTTCAACACTCCAGACAACATTCCTTTTGCTGAGGGTGAATTAGAAACATATGGTCTAAATATACCTAAACCTTATTTTTAAAGAATATAGGATGTTATTAAGCACATTTAATATAACCCATCTTCATATTCATTGACTAAGGCTATGTAAGACACAAAAATTAATTATAGGCTCAAATGCCCAATGTTTATGAAAGCATTCTTCAAATGAGCAGGAATGGACATTTAGTATGTTTTAGGGATTATTTAGATCTCATTTTTATACAACTTTATTCTATATTTTACACTTGTATATTGTATGACCAAAGTCCCAGTAACACTGATTCTCAACTAGTTTTCTTAGATGATGTGGTGGACAAGTAACATCTGTGTCTATTCAAAATCTTTTGAACACCCTCTCCACATCTGACACTTCCCCATTGCGAAGCCTACCTTATCCACATCAAATCGGTAGAAGTATATTTCTCAGCGTCTCTTTCCACTAGGGTGCAGGTGTTTGACTGCAAGTTCTACCAATCGGATACATCTGCATAAGACAGTAACGTAGAAATGGGTCACAAGAAGGGAAAAGTAGGCCACAGGACCTTCATTTTGCCAGTATGGGAGGTAGCAGACGCAGGGGTTCTGGAGTTCTGGAGCCTGTGATGGTGGTGGTGGTGGTGGCAGCTGCAGGGTCCTGCCTATAGAGGTGCAAAGATCTCGGACTACCGGCAGCAGCTCGGTTCTCCAGCCAGTGTGGTGTGGTGATTCTGAAACTTGGTCTTGGAGGCTCTGCCTGTTCCAATAACCCTTCCAAAAATTCTGTAAGCATTCTATTTAATAGTTCCCTTCCCACTTAAACTAGCTCAGCAGTTCTTGAAGTGTGGTCCAAGGATCCTGGGGATTCCCAAGACTCTTTTAGGGGTCTGCGAGATGCTTCACTTTCCAACTACGTATCTATGTGAAGCCAGCTTTTCTTCACTGTACCTCAACCAAAACAATATTGCAACAGATTGAATGCAGAAGATAATATGAGAATAAACATTTTTCCTAAGAATGTTAATTTACACCACTCAAGTTAACATGTAATGTGTTTATTATCAGGTCAAAGGAGTTAATATTTTAAAGACTGCTCAGCTTTAATTATTTAATACGGTTAAGTATTAATAGATATAACACACATAAACAGAAGCTCTTTGGGGTCCTAAATTTAGGGTTCTTAAAAGATATTTTAGAGTGGAAAAGGATCCCAAGACCAAACAGTTTGAAAACTACTGAAATATAGTAGCTTCTGTCATTTTCACCTAAAAACCTTGAAAAACAGAGGCTACATTTTTCTGGATTTCTCCACCCAGATTTTGGTGATTATAAGAGAAGTTGGTTTAGGGAAAGTATGGTATTGTCTCTAAGGAGAAGGGGAAGGAGAGGGAGATGCAAAAAGCAACGTATGATAGAAACAAGGCCAAGAGCTAGTAGGAATATCAGAAAGGAGTATCTATTTCTACAAATGTAAGATCTTAAAAAGAAAGACTTAGAACAGAAGTACCTAGTGGACACAGAACTGATAATATTTATTAATCACAAATATTTAATACTTGCATACATATACCCTCACATTCACTGAGTTTAATAATCTTTATCGTTCACAGCAGCCCGTCCTAACTTAGTGACGTCAGAGACACCTTTAGTTCTGCCCTTCTCAGACATGTTACTATGTCCAGGAATATTAAGTATATCACTCTGCTCACTCCATATCTTTTGGATCAATGTCCAGGAAGGCTGATATATGGCAAGGTAAGAAAACACTCAATCATTGAATGAATACTTAATATATATCCCACAGAATCAGTTTAAAGATGTGAAAATCTAGGTCTTTGAAGTCATCTAGTACCAAAAGCCCAGAAAGTGAGATAGTTTCATGAAACTTAGGAAGTCCCTTTGGTTTGACCGAAGTACAGTCACCTGCATTGTGTTTAGTTTTTGGTCAGTTATCTTTCAGAACTGTCCTCATATGCAAATCCAGCCCACCAGACTTTATGCCAGGATGGCAGGGGCGCTGTTTCATTCATCACCAAATACACAAAGCCTAGAACAGGATCTGGCACATAGGAGGTAAAAACAGGCACTGATTAAATGAATCAATTGAATGAATGAATGAACTCATGAGGCACTCTTTGATATACATTCCATTTGCTTTCTTTCCTAATTGATCAATAAACATTGGTTAACTAATAGTCCACTTCCATTCTTATGCTGCACTTATAAAAATTCCTGTCCTATTATAAAATGATCAGAATTGCTGATATATCATTAACTGCCATTACAAAATCTGCTAAGTGTACACTACTCCATTCATCCAAAGAACACTTGTTATTTACCAGCAGAATATGGCTTTAAGCTTGCTCTTACAAGTTTAATAGGTAATATTAAGTTTTGACTCATAGTAGGTCACAGAAACTGACATCAAAGTAAGAGAAAACGCTGGAAATAATTAAACCAAAACACTTAGTATGTACAAGGCTCCAGATAAAAGCCCAACCTGTAATTTTTCAAAAATCCCCAAGCAATGTAAAATTGAAGTGTTTCAACTATGATTATACTGGAAAAAGTCTCAAGTTTCGTGTGACACTTCCTGAAAACCTGCCTATAAGGTGAACTTTAAAAATCATCCATGTTAGTTTGGGTTCTCTGAAAAACAGATGCCAAGAAGCATTAAATATGAAAGAGATTTATTAGGGGAGATGTCTGTGAATGATAAAGGAGAGGAGTGGGGAGGGTCTGCCACCTGTGAAGGTGAGAGAGAAGGAAAGGAGAATTGGGGAGGAAGAGTCTTGGAAAGCAGCACAGTTCCAAAAAAGTTTCAGGCCAGCCAATGAGGAATCCCTGAGCCAAATCGCCATCAGAGGAGTGAGCCAGCAGTAACAGCCCGCCATGCTCAGTCACTGGTTGAGAACAGCCCAGACCTCAGCAAGAACACAGCAGTGGATCCCAAGGGGCAGCACCTGGGGTTCTCAGTTAACTTTGCTTCTTGCAGAAGATCTGATAGACACACTTCCATGGCCAACACGTCGTCTTTTGTTAAGTACCAAACTGACAGCCCTCAAGTTTTTTCACTGATGTTTGATAGACACAAGACCATAAGTGTTTTCATGACACCAAACTTTATAAATTTGGCAACTGTCAGGAAACATGTTACTACTAACAGAAGTTAAGGGTTCTATTGTCTTAATACAAAATTTTGAAGTTTATAAATTATCTTTTCCCTATCACGTATCATGATGATTAGCATGGAACACTAGCAAGACTATACGATACAGGAGAATTTAACATAATATTTTTAGAATGTTAACTTAGTAAAAACCTTTGCTAATTTGGGCTAATTGGAGATCGACTAAATTATACAATATTCTTAAAGGAATGTAGTTATTACTTAGCAGCATACACAGTAATTGCAACTAGAAGAACAAATGTTGACTAAGAGAGACTGATACAAAGACTGAATGACTAGCCCTAATTAGTGCACTAGTAAGTTTCTGGGAAGAAAATACTTTTTTTTTAAGTTTATATTCTTAAATAAATCTCCCTTCAATCTTCTCAAATGATATCACACTTATAATTCATATCACACAATTATCAGCCTATTGCATTCTATCTTCCACAGGGTCTGCAAATCCTCTTCCTAAAGAACCTGCAGCCAGGGATGCCTTAGGGGAGCCCAGCTGTTCCCGCCCTTCCTTCATTCCAGATCTGTAAACTAGACTTGACTTTTCCTGACCCAGTTGTCAAAAGACCACAGGGCAGGAGCTTTTGAGTCATCAAAACTGAACAAGCTGGCCCATCCCATCCCCTGCTTTTCTCATATTTGCCCTCTGTAGCTGAATTTTATGTTTCACAAACTAACATATATTTCAGCTCAGTTCATCTATGCAAATCACTACCTTTCAACTAATAATTTTTTTCCCCCTCATGTGGTTTAAATCTTCAATGGATGGTGGGAAATATTTCATTTCTGGCACACTTGATGCACCTCTGCAGAGCCCTCAGTCAACCAATAATGTTTTAATGTTGTATTCACATTAAAGGATTTCATCTAAAATTTCGAACTTCCGTTTCTTAATCCCCCTCCCACACCTCCCACCAGGGAGCCTAGAGACCTGCAAAAATTCATTAAAAATGATTTAAGGATAGAAAACCCTTACTGGACACAACATCTTACTCACTTAGTTTATGTGTATTTAATCATTTGATTATTACTCATTTAATCCTCTCCACTGCCCTATGAAGTGGAGCTATTATTTCCAATTAAAATTATTACTCTTTCCAGTTTACACAAAAAGATACTGAAGCACAGGGAAGTTAAATAACTTACCTAAGGTCACACAGATAGTAAGCAGTGGAGCCAGAATTTGAACCCTGATAATCTGGCGCCTAGTTAAGAGAGCTGCTCAAAATACAATGCACTCTTTAACTCACATTTGAAAAGCCACTGTTACCCAGCACACAGCAGTACAATCATCTAAAAAATTTTATTTACATTTGCATTTTACAAGCAACTGATTAAATTAAAAAATGCTGCAGTAAGTTTCCCACTTTAATCATTACTTCTATACCTCAATACATTTAAATTCAAATTAGTATGTGCTAACTTGGAATCTACTTGACGTCAATGGGTTTTTGGGTTTAATGTAGAAATATTTTCCCTTTCCCAACTTACAGCAGCATATTTTCTTCCAAAACCATCATATATATTTTTAAATGCATTGTAGAAATCCGATGACTTAAAGGATGTAAAGAAATTAAATAATCAGAAATAAGTTAATTCAGATGTATGTATTCAGAAACAGATAACTGAGGTTAAAGTATGTGACTTAAAAGTCAATACAGCGTCCTTTTCGTTCCCAATCTCCATATCGGGTAGGTTCTGGGCCCCTGGGTCCACCCTTTTCTTTGGTAACAGGATTAACGTCATCTGGAAATTCTAAAGAAAGACAGATGTAAACAAAGCAGTTAACAGAGATGGTCAATTCTGACAACAGGGTTGCAGAGTTAATTGACTAGATACCTACTGACCAGGTTACTATACAGTTGTTTTTCAAATTTTTGAAAGACTTATTGGCTTTTCTTATTGTTCATTACAACCACCAACGATTCCAAGCAGGAGTAAGACAAGCAACCACTTAAGTAGCCATGACACTGGTCATTTTTGATCCACTAAGACATCAAAACAAGGACAGCTCCCTGCAGTCATCTCCAAATGTCCCTGAAGCAATCTGACAAACTTGGGCTTTGATGAATTACTGAGATCATCGCCTCTATGACATGGGTCATAAGCCACTTCAGTGGTTCTGAAGACTACAAGTCCAAATTCAGGCTGTCAGCAGGGTTATGTTCTCTATGAAGGCTTTCAGCTACAGCATAACTCCACTGTCACACGGTTGTCTTCTCTCTGTCTCTCTCTGTTTAACTCAGGACTGGTATGAAAAAGAAATGCATAGTGTGAGGACTGGGAAGAGTCCTCAATGTGGAGCTTCCATGTCCCAAAATGGACACGTCACCTCCCAAGTACCAATGTCTTTCATCAACCAGAAAGCCTCTGGAATTTTTATTGTGAATAATGCTACAATGAACATAGGTGTGTATGTATCTGCTAGTATCAGTAGTTTTAGTTCTCTAGAATATATATCTAGGAGTGGGATCGATGGATCGTATTTCTATGTCGTTTTTTTTTTTCTTCTTCTTCTTTTTTATGGCACTTCAGGTGAAGGTTTACAGAACAAATAGTTTCTCATTAACCAGTCGTACACATATTGTTTTATGACATTGGTTAGCAACCCCACGACATGTCAACCCTCTCCCTTCTTGATCTCTTTTTTTTTTTTTTTGGTGAAAATATTCTACGTCTAGTTTCTTGAGGAAGCACCATAATGTTTTCCATAGTGGTTGCACCATTTTACAATCCCACCAGCAATGTATAAGAGTTCCAATCCCCCCACACCTTGCCAGTATTTGTTGTTTCCTGTTTTTTTTTGGTCAGTGCCATTTTTGCAGGGACAAGATGGTATCTTATTGTAGTTTTGATTTCCATCTCTCTAAGGGCTAATGATCATAAGCATCTTCTCCTGTATTTGTTGGCTGCTGAATGTCCTCTTTGGTGAAGTGTCTGTTCATGTCCTTTGCCCATTTTTTGATTGGATTGTTTGACTTTTTGTTGTTGAGTTCTTGAAATTTTCTACATATTTTAGAGATTAGACTCTTATCAGATATGTCGTTGCCAAAGAATTTTCCCCAGTCTGTAGGTTCTCTTTTGGTAAAGTCTTTTGATAAGCTTAAGTATTTAATTTTTAGGAGGTCCCAGTTATCTAATTTATCTTCTGTCATTCATGCATTTTTGGTTTTGCATAATAGGCTATTTATGCTGAAAATTAGGTCCCCTAGTTTTGACCTTATGTTATCTTCCTGGAACTTCATAGTTTCAGCTTTAACGTTTAGGTCTTTCATCCATTTTGAATTAGTTTTTGTGCATAGTGTGAGATATGGGTCTTGATTCATTTTTCTGCATATGGATATCAGTTTTGCCAGCACTATTTGTTAAAAAGACTATTTCTTCCCCATTGAATGGACTTTGACCCTTTGTTGAAGATCAGCAGTCCACAGATGGATGGATTTACTTCTAGGTTCTCAATTCTGCTCCAGTGGTCTATGTGTCATTCATTGAACCAGTACTAGGCTGCTCTGATTACCGTGGCTGTATAGCAGATTTTGAGATCAGAAGTATGAGACTTCCTACTTTGTTCTTCCTCTTCATTACTGCTTTAGCTATTCGAGGCTTCCTTCCTTTCCGTATAAAGTTGGAGATTAGTTTTTCCATTTCATTAAAGAATGTTGTTGGGACTCAGATCAGGATTGCATTACCCCTGCAGTTTTTAAATGAACTGTAAATGTACGTCTTTTTCCTGTTTTTGAAGAATCATTTTAGGATACAACTTTCATATCAAATCAACTTTATTACCTACATTAAAAAAAACAAACAACAAACCTGTTGCAGTCGAGTTCATTCCGACTCATAGTGACCTTACAGGACAGAGTAGAACTGCCCCATAGGATTTCCAAGAAGCACCTGGTGGATTCGAACTGCCGACCTTTAGGTTATCAGCCATAGCTCCTAACCACTACGCACCAGGGTTTCCATTACCCACATTAGTGAATTAAAATTCTTGGAGCACTCTCAGCCTCTGATCTGGGAAGTAGTTGTGTGATTCTAGATTAAAATGGAAGGTGTAGAGAATGTTGAGTGCAAATCCACAGTGTTTAGAAGGTTTTGAAACAAGATTACTTTGAAGGAGTCACTTTTTCTCAATGCCTCAGTTTGCTTCTCTGTAAAATGGAAACACAAACAGTACCTGCATAACAGCTGTCTTGAGGGCTAAACAAGGCAATACATGTAGAGTTTAGCACAATGCGAGGTACATAAGAAATGCTTGACTAATTTTAGCTGAGTATTACTGTTTTGCATTATAGGGTTTTGGCTTCAGCAACTGGTTGGCTAGTACTGTCATTTATGAACACAATAATAGCAATTATCATTGTTAACACTATGAGTTCATAATAGGAATGCCTACCAAGAGTCAGGCTCAATTATGAGCACTATACACATTAACTCATTTAATCTGGATAACATTCCTATGGGATAGAAACAATTATTGTCCCCATTTTAAAGACGGGAAAATCAAGCAGAGTGAGGTTAAGAAAGTTGCTCAAGGTCACACAGCTACTAAGTGTTGAAACTGAGTTTGAATTCAGACATTCTGCCTGCAGTCTTGCTCTTAGCCCATGCACTGCATTGCTCTGCATATAGAAAGAACAGAAGCAGAATCAGCTATCTGAAAGAATTCCAGTTCTTAAACTGTCTCCATAGAAAACTAAAAGATCATCACCAAAATCATGTAACCCTTCTTTAGGCAAAAGAAAGAAGATACAGAATTTACCTTAAAAAAATCAAGTATGCATTCATTCTTTCATTCTTACTCTACTGTAAGTTCTCTCTGACCCACATCATCATTTTGTTTTCTAAAGAACACTCTGCTTTATCTGAAAGTTGGCATTTCTCTACTGTACCATTCCTCTGAAAGCCTCTCTAATGGAAGCTCTTGTTTCTCCCACATCACTGAGGAGGACTGGGCAAGACAGGGTCATGAGATCTCTGCTCCACACTGCTGCTTCCAGCCTCTTGTTCTACAACCAAGTGTCTACAACCTTTCCTCTTTTGAATTCCACACCATTCACTTTTCTCCAGTCTTTCAATAAACTCAGAGACACTGTTCTATCTCTTGGATGAGATAAGTATGTGGTTCATAGCTTTATATCTTTCTCTCCATCATCCTTAATACCAACATCCACTTTAATGAATCATCTTATATCGGTGTCACAGAGGTCCCCAATCCTCTTTCTAGCGCTTTTCATCTCCACTTCTGCCATCCATTTGGATTTTATTATCTCTTGAACACATTCCTTCTCCAAATCCCACTTAAGCTCTCTTCTTTCTGACCACAACAGCCTATCTTTCCATCTTCCTTCTTCCTCATGTTTATTTTACCTAATGTTCACACTCATTATTACCTATAGTCTTCTGAAACTTTTTATTCTCACCCAAACCACCCTGGTTCATGCTCTTAGTGTTCCATTCAAGATTAATGCAATGGTTTTCTAACTTACCTGTTTTCTGACTCTCATGGCCCCAGCCTAACCTGCACAGGAGCCTGAATTAATTTTTCTAAAACATAATCCCTACTCCACATTACACAAAGTGGAAGAAGCCAGACACAAAAGACTACAAACTGTATGATTCCATTTATATAAAACCTTGTTGTTGTTAGGTGCCTTCCAGTTGCTTCCAACTGACAGCGACCCTATGTACAACAGAATGAAACACTGCCCAGGCCTGCACCATACTCATGAACACTGTTACGCCTGAGTCCACTGTTGCAGCCACTGTGTCAATCCACCTCATTGAGGGTCCTCCTCTTTTTTGATGACCCTCTACTTTACCAAGCACAATGTCCTTCTCCAGGGACTGGTCCCTCCTGATAACATGCCCAAAGTATGTGATATGAAGTCTCGGCATCCTCGCTTCTAAGTAGCATTCTCCCTGTACTTCTTCCAAGATGGATTCGTTCATTGTTTTGGTAGTCTGTGGTATATTCAATAATCTTCGCCAACACCATAATTCAAAGGCGTCAATTCTTCGACTTCCTTATTCATTGCCCAGCTTTCACATGCATACGAGCAAACTGAAAATACCATCGCTTGGGTTAGGCGCACCTTAGTCCTTAAAGTGACATCTTTCCTTTTTAATACTTTAAAGAGATCATTTGCAGCAGATTTGCCCAACGCAATGCAGTGTCTGATTTCTTTACTGCTGCTTCCATGGGTGTCGACTGTGGATCCAAGAGAAATGAAATCCTTGACAACTTCAATCTTTTCTCCGTTTATCATGTTGTTGTTTATTAGGCCAGTTGTGAGGATTTCTTTCTTCTTTATGTTGAGGTGTAATGCATACTGAAGGCTGTGGTCTTTGATCTTCATCAGTAAGTGCTTCAAGTCCTCTTCATTTTCAGCAAGCAAGGTTGTATCATCTGCATAACGCAAGTTGTTAAAGAGTCTTCCTCCAATCCTGATGCCCCGTTCTTCTTCATATGGTCCAGCTTCTCGGATTATTTGCTCAGCATACAGATTGAGTAAGTTTGGTGAAAGGATACAACCCTGATGCACACCTTTCCTGACTTTAAACCACACAGTTCTTGTTCTGTTCAAACAACTGCCTCTTGAGCTATGTACAGGTTCCTCATGAGCACAATTAAGCGTTCTGGAATTTCCATTCTTCGCAATGTTATCCATAATTTGTTATGATCCACACAGTAGAATGCTTTTGCACAGTCAACGAAACACAGGTAAACATCTTTCTAGTATTCTCTGCTTTCA